AACATCAAATGCTAAGACTGAAGGGCTATAAATAAGAACTTTATTATTAAAACAATTTTCATTCCTACATAGAAAAATGAAAGGTGAAATGAAGGATGCCAAGCTGAAACACCAACAGAATAGAACAGGATATCCAGAATGGCATGCTCAAGATCTCCAGTTCACTCAAGATTGTTTCGTAGACTAAATAGAGGAAATATCCAACAGGGTCAGGTTTTTGATTTATATCTTTCCATATACACTCAGTGATGGACATAAAGGGCAGAAACAAATAAGGATATTTTTGCATTAAGGTTCTATTACTACTAGCATTTTAACCTTCACATTAATGAACTTCTCTACTGAAACTACACCATCAGAAAGAGCCAAAATACATGCATTTGCACAAAATCTGCATTTGGAATTCTATGCAGAGATTCCTATTCAAACAGACCTTTGGTAGCACATAGAACCAAAAAGCACATTCTGGCAGTCTGTGGAACCCTACAGCTTACACAGTTTGCTTAAATTATCCAAAAAAACAGAAAGGTGGGAAACAAAGACTGTTTTAGAGAGCTTTTCATCCCATTTTCCTCATTAAGAACACAGAAATTTGCTGTACCTTTGCAGTGTTAATGGCATACAAATACTCTACAGACAAGGCTCTATTTCTGCTACATACTGAAGCACGGGGAACAAGATCTTCCATCACCACATAAACGGTGCCTGACTATGAATCTCAAAAGAGTGTTCCTCACTTAGCAGTTGTGGGCAAGTTCCATTCCATATTGAAGAAATAAGTCACCAGAAAGACACAGTGAAGCTGCAGAGCAAAGAGAGCTCTGGATTTCCAGAATGCCTGCTTCCTAAGTTACATACAAAGCAACTGGTAGGAAGTCAGGTGCGACGACTGGAGTCAGTGGTTGTTTAGTGGCAAGACAAACCTAACATACTCCTAGTTCTGTAGCTTCCAAGCTTGGAAATAGCAATTCACTTTTCAAAAGAACGTGCCATTATTCATTAATGTGCCACGCCAGACTCTCTGGATGTAATCACTCTTTAATAATTTCCACCTAGCAAGACTTTTAACCCAAAGTATCTCTCAAAACAGTTGCCAGAAGGGAAAGGGCACAGCCTTTTTCCCAGTCTCAGATCTCGGTAACTCACTTCTGGTTCACCGCTCCATCTGTCTGCTACACCACATATCCGCATCATCCCCATCTCTGTTTCTCAGCTGTTTCTTTCTCTTGAATAGCAGCTCTTCATCACTGCTTCCCACCAATTAGCATCAACTCTCCAACACAGGAATATATATTCATGTCAACTTTACTTTGATCCTATGATTTGCAGTGACAGAAGAAAAAGCCAACAGCAAACCTTGACTACCAGTATGAAAGCTTCCTCCAAACATAACCAAGAGACAGCAATTCAGACTAAAAGCCAATATTCTGAAAAAAATATGACGACTTAGACTTTTCATCTTCAAACAACCGGGATGTTTCCTGGACACTCAAATAGAAACATGGATTTTGGGCCCCAAAACGTGTATGCAACTCAGGGGCTTCAAAAGCTCTACCGTGAAAAGCATTAATAACATGACATCTGATGTGTTGACACCCTGCTATTACAGGTCTTAAAAAAACTTCAGAGACAGAAATGAGCTGGGCCTCAACTCTCCTAGAAGCCAGGTGTGCTCTTCACAGTTGAGGCAACCAAAGCACAAACCCAGTGAAAATAGGAACGCGTTTCCAACATCACCGTGATTAAAAAAAAGGAAGCAAACCCTAGAAACTCCAGTCCGCTCTCTTTTCACCCCCACACGCTGTTTTTGAGGCAATTAAAGAAGACATGCAAATAGCACCAGGGCAGCACGCTGCAGCTAAGGGGCGAGCTACCGCCTCGGTAGGCGAGTACAGGCCACCTCTCGCCACCCTGCCTTCAGAGTCACCTTAAGGGACAGGGAAGGCACTGAAGACTTTAACTGCGGGGCAAAACGCCCCCTCAGGAAGGGCGATAGGAGGGGTACCGGCAGACGGAGGGGCGACAGGAGCGGTACAAGGAGACAGGGGAGGACCCACCTCACCGGGCTCCACTCGCACAACCCTGAAAGGGGCGGGGAGGGGAAAAAACCGCAACACGCACACACCGGGAGAGGGGGGAGAGCGCGGGGGCGGCTCCCGCAGAGCGGCGCCGCGGCCGCCCGAGGACGCGGGGGCGGGAGGGGTCG